AGGTTTAGACTGATAGGCAATAATTCATTTTATTCTAATTTTTTTTAAAACACCTGTTTTCTTGGGCTAGAATGATGCAGTACTTTTTGTATCCCCCAGTTTTTGTTATATTTTTACTTCTGGCCGTTCTGTGTGAATAACCACCCCCGATCTACCTCAGCGTTGTTTATGTGTGTGTTCTCCGCTAACTAGCTGACTTTGAAAATCCACTGGGAATTGTAAAGCACTGTCGGCAGGCCGTTGATATTTTACCCTATAGCTATGGTTATAACAGTTGGTGTATTTTCCTGACAAGCTGTCAAAACAATAAATATAAGGTATTATAAGACTGACTCTGTCTTTTCTATGTACTCATTGATCGAATTTAGTAACTCGTTTTTAAATTTCTTTTCATACATGAAAATATGATGAGTCACACTTGTGTTATGTTATCTGAGAGATGAGATCTTATGATAATTTATACTGTTGTCTGGATTTATTTAATCAGGGAAATCACAAATGAGTCATACTTCCTCATTCAGCTTAATATGGGGTTGGGGCTGGGAGTGATCTTATTATGAACGTGTTCAGCTGTGTTGTGATACATCCCAGTAAGTTTACTAGTTAGTCAGTCAGTCAGATGAATTCATCTTGTGACAACTTGGTTCTCTAACTGATGTCAGCTCATGATGAAATCCTCCATACAATCAAACAAAATCCCTACAAAACCAAAACTTGATAATAGAATGTACTTTATAGCATAATACATTGTTGTGTTCATTGAGAAGAATCTGTCAGTTAATAGTGTTCTTTAATGATTGTTAATTGTTGTCATGTTCTGACCATGTATGTATGGGAGTAATCCTGTCCTGTTATATATAAACAGCAAACCACGTCATAGAGACGGGTTATAAAGTTTATTTCAATAATGCCTTTTTAAAAGCAATATACCGAAAAAAGTTTGGTTCATATACACTTAAATCCGTTGAATCCCTAACGTATAAAAAGATTTACACCTGTATCTTTGCGTCCAGAAATTATTTGTTATTAGTTTGAACCTGCCTTATTAGTGCAATTTTAAAACCAAGCTTTAGTTTATATAATGTTATTTTTACCCCACTTTTACCTAACCCCTTATCTGTGATCATTGACACATGAACCTCTTGATCTAACGTTCAAATCCCCAAGGGCCATTGAGTTGGGTCTTAGCGGCTAAATGGTCTACGAGCTTGATACGTAACCGGAAGGCTCTGGATTTCAACCGTGACGATGGGTGTGCACTTCCGATGAGTCCCAAACAAGGACGAAAGAGTTGTCTAGTACCATCTGCTAGCTTTCAGTGGTTCTCTAACTGATACCACAGTTCGTGAACAAACTTTGTACAAATGAAATCCCTACCTTTATTTAGAAAACACTGTTAGGCATTCTCGAGGACATAAATGTAGGTTTTTAGATCAACGACCGACATAACTGGCCACAAACGAGCAGGTGATAAACTGATAGGTATAATTAGAGATGGCCAGCCTAGATACTTCGTCTTTCAATTTCGGTATGACAACCGGTTGTATAGAAAATGAAAGGTGTAGCTTACTATCATTAAATGTTTTTTGAATCGACTTTCCTAACTTTTCGCTCATATTATTGCATTCATATATATATAATGGCTTCTTTTCAAGAAATACCGAATTCTTCTCCAATCTCTGGGCCGTGTGTTTAGTGATGAAGTTTTCAGGGTAGCTGTTTTCAGCTGACCTGTCGACATTATTTCTTAAATGTAATAATTTCAAACAGCATTAATGTTGTTAATAACAATATTTCTATAATTATTACCGTCTTAGAAATGTAGAACCTGATGATGAATTTATCGGAAAATGATATTTTTTGTTCAGTTATATCAGTTTTTATTTACAATTTTCAAGCAGTGTCTTTAATGAATTAAAAATAGTTAAATGAACAAAGATTATCTTGGATAGGTTTCCCCTTTTAAACTCTACTCATATTTGTATATACATATTCAAATTTTTGTGTATTATTAATAACAGTAATAATGAAGAAGCCTTAATGAACGAAAATAAGTCCTGTGTTTCATACCAATGAAGAGATCATTTGAAAAGAGAAACCAGAGAAGGGTTTATGTAAATAAGAATGTCGGACTCAATTACTATTGTTGTCTAGATCAAAGTAACTATGTAGACGATAACCTGTATAGAATATTCCAGGTTATTACGTCTAAAATAAATGATCTCTTACACGACATTGAATGCATGCATATGCATATACCGCTGAGGATTCGTCATAAACGTGTGACGTAAGGGTTTTGGTTCAATTCCAAATTTCTAGAAAACACTAAAAGAACAGTTGTTTCCATCGTAGTTTGTGACTCTTCACCAGTGTGTGTCTGCGTACACCTACAACCTCTTAATGACTCGAACTTAGAACCATCTGGTTACGTGGCTGCAAAGTTAGCATTCACCTACTACAAGGTTAAAGAAGAATGTAATGACTGGTGAATCCGATCTTCTCTCCTTTCATGTTGGCAATATAAGGCTACAGCCGACTAAAGCCTTTCCTCTAGCTGAATATCTGTCCTCATTTGAGTATGAAATCTCCCACTGGAATTAGTCGAATCGTAGTAGTAGATTTATTTCTCAAGAGTTAGTCTGTAGGGATTTGATTTGTATGAAGTTTGATCATGAGCTGGCATCAGTTAGGTAACCAATGGAAATGACAGGTGGTACTGCTCGGCAGTGCGCACTTGCCAGTATTGGAACCCAGCACCTTTAAGTTACAAGGCGAACTCATATACCATTCAAGCACGAGGATGAAATCCAATGGCCCATCAGTTCTAATTTCTTCCAATTCATGGTGTAGCGCGACTGGCAACCAACGCCATTGTGGAGTATATGTCTTCATACTCGACATGTTGGACCCCACTGGTCACGACGTTTTACTAGAAATCTCCAGAAAACTTCGTTCTGTATCCAGTCACGAGTGAGTACTGGTGAGTACAGCTGTCGTATACTCACCGGTTTCCCAATCGTTCTCTAATCGAAGTGTCTTCGTTATCAAAATTGAAATCAATCAAATCCCTGTAAACCAACACTTCAAAATCTTTCAAAGTCTTGTTACGTCTTACACAAAATAGCCATATTTATTTAGAATTACTGTCGAATAACGATTAAATGTGACACTGTCATTTTGGCGCATATATGTTATTCTTGTATAATCTGTTTTGTTTATACTATCCTAATGATTCACTGTTACTATGAATCTTATTATTTATTCCTTTACCTAACATAATAGCACAATCACAGAAGTGTAAAATTCATAAAATCATGTTTAACCATAGATATTATTTTCCTCAAGTTTGATCACGGATTGGTATGAGTTAAAGAATAAAAATCAGTGAGTACTGGACAGATGCTTTGTCCTGGTTTGAGACTCTTCAACAGTACACACCCACCAGGATTCGAACCCGGGACCTTCTGGTTACAAGGCAAGCTCGTATACTATTCACCCACTGGGACCCGATTCAATGACCAGCCAATGAATTCTAACTTCTGCCAATTTGTGTTTTTCCTTGCATGACAACTAGCCAATGTCATCAATGGCGAGTATTTGTCCTCATTGCTGACCGGGTAGTCCTCGCTCATCACGACTTATCACTGAAATTCTAGGCAACTTCATCCTATAGCCTGTCAGTAACGCTAACGCTGGCTGACAGTCTCACTGAAATCAAGAGTTAGTGGAAGTTGGGATTCATTGACCATTGAGTTGTATCCCATTGGCTGAATGCTCTACTAGTTTTCCTTGTAGCTGGAAGTTGCTCTGTTAAAACCTTGGCATTGGACGCGTACTGTCGATTAGTGCTAAACTCGAACGACACCCCTCTCCAGTACTCCCTGCTGGTTTCCAAAATAGCTCTCTATCTGATATCGATCGGTGATCAAACTGGAAACAGATCAATTCCCTAAAAACCATATTCTGAATATTATCTTTTTATTATGCTTAGCCGTGTTTTACACTACTTTGGTACATTTCATAATACCTACTATTGGTTAGTTGAATTCTAGTTTATACAAGCTTCAATGTTTTTTGTGTGTTTGTGTTCTCTGAGCTGTATAGTTGATTTGCGAAGCTTTCATCACCCTACTAGGTGACGTCTTCAGTGCATACTTCAATTTGAATTGAGCTTTTAGATTCCTCCACGAGTTTATTAACCATCTCTCCCAGTGACCTTGGACATGATTGGTTGTTTTTGTGTGTTTTCACACCTTCTAGGCTACTTGTATTGGAACAGATTGTTTTTTTGACTTGAACTTTGACCCTTTGTGTGTGAGGTTTCTTTCTTATCGGTTGATAAATTTTGTCAGACTCACTTCAAATCGAAGTATGCGCTGAAGATGTCACCTAGTAGGGTGGTGAAAGCTTCGCAAATTAACTATCCAGCTCAGAGAACACAACCATATCAAAATCATCCACTTGAGCTACAAATCGTCTTCATCATATCTAAGCTTCAATATGCTATATATATATATATATATATATATATATATATATATATATATAGGAGTGGATATATATATATATATATCCACTCCTACCTTGCCTTTAATTAAACCTCTTTAACATATTGCATTCTAATTGTATATGTATTATGTATATATTACGTAATCAATTATGGCTTTTTTGTAGACTGTTGCTAACTTTGTTAACTTGAGTTGTACTATTTATATTTTCTCTGAGTGTTATACAGTATTATTATTATTATTATCCACTCATGCAATCAATAAGTTGACTCATTTTCGATTGTTAATTTATTAGCTTATAATTAAGTCGCAATTTCTTTATTTTGTGTGTGTGTGTGTATCAACGATGATTGACACTGCTCATGTATATTGATGAAGCAGATTGAGTTGGATTTCAGATTTCACATATATATAACATACATCGATTTATAATTAAATTACCATCTTTTCCAATTATACACCCTAGATTTCTTTTCTTAGGGGTAGGTTGAGGTAGGGTGGGTGGGGTGGAGGATGTTTCACATAGACACTACACCACCACCCGCATTCCAAATGTGTGTATGCATACTTGGATTTGTTAGAGGCCTACTGCTTCTACTACTACTACCTATTCTTGGTGGATTGTGACTATTGGGGGGTATCCACGATGTGCATTCCCTTCCATTTGGGACCCGTATCAGCTGGTGAGTGAGATAATGTTCCCATTTGAACTCGATCTCTCTTGTGATATGATATCAACAGGAAATATAAAATTAAGATTAAATAAATAATAAGTGATATCTGTTACACAAGAGATGACTGTTGTGGCCCAAGTGTTCTAGTGGATAACTCTTAGGCGATTGAAACGATAGGTGTAGGGTTCGAGTCTCAGAAGTGGGGAACACCATCACTGATTCACTGGGGATTGATTGCAGGTACATCCATCAACTGACACAAGTCCAAAATAGAAGAGGAAATACGCATCCTGGATTCCACTGCTAGTCATCATCCACCAAATGATATCAGACAGTCTCGAAGCTTTTCTACTATGAGTCGACATGTTAACCGAGACTGAACGTTCTGGTCCAATATAATCAAACGACAGTGAATACAAAATTAACTTAAGTAATTCCTACTACTACCAATGGTTGATTTCAGATTATACATGTCTGAATTTTGACGTGCTAACTGGTCGATAACCTATTTGTCAAGTTGATTGTCAAGTAAAGACGGATAAAACAAGTAACTTAATTCAATTTTAGATTTTCCCGTCGATTGATTGGACTGAAGTGCTCTGTCTCAGGTTGACATGTCGGCTTCTTGTGCAGAATAATAAATAATTAATATGACCCGTTGCACAAGAGGTGGCTCTTGTGGCCCAAGTGGTCTTTGTTGATAACGCTTTGGCTTTTGAAACTATGGTCACTGGGTTCGAGCCTCGGTGGGAACATCATCACTCACTGGGGAACGCAGGTACATCCAGTAGCTGACGAGTCCCAAATAGGACGAAATGCGCTTATCCTGGATTATCCACTGCTAGTCACCATCCACCAATTAACTTCTAAAACAAGTAATTGTCCCCCCCCACCACCACCTTGGTTTTCTAGTTCTCCTCCAACTGATATGGGTTAATGATTTAAATTTCTGTGTATCATGTTAAACTGACTAAGTGTGAACCTCAAACAGATTAATTTTACTAAGTCGTAAATATAACATTACTGTGTGGCATTGAAATCAGTCATGAAGTTAAGGATGTGTATTTCTGTTTATTAGTTACTAGATGGGGATACACGAAAGGCCCTGATTGTCTTAGATAGCCGTTCTGAACTTAATTTCCATACATGCCATTTATCTGTATAATATATTCTCAATTTTAAGAGAAATCATGAGAAGTCGTAACCAGTTGGGTCCACTAAGTCGCCTATGACATTGGCTGGTGGTTGTGCCACATATATTGCAAATTGGCAGAAGCTGGAATTTATGTACAATTCGATCGCGTCCCAGTGGCTGAATAATCTACGACCTTATCTAGTAACCAGAAGGTCCTAGATTTAAACCCTGGAGGTGGGTGCGTATTGATGAAGCGTCCCAAGCATCAGGACGAAACACCTGTTCAGTGCTCCCTGCTGGTTTTCAATGGTTCTTTAACTGATGTCAACTCATGATCAACTCTGTAACCGATTAAATCCCTACAAACCAACACCTGGTTGCCACTTATCTAGTATTTCTTCAATATAAATACTAATCTTATTTGACATAACGTTTGCAGGACAATTTGGATAGTATTCAGTGTCATGATATAAAAAAGCCTAATCGTAGTAATATATGAATTCGAAGTTGATTACTATTAAGTCTTGATACAGCATTATTTAGATCACGTGTAAGCTATTTACATATTACTATCTATTGAACCAGTATCAATGACTTATATTGACCCGCATAATAAGGTTGGATTTCGGTGCTGTGATTATTAACTGCAACGAATTATCAGTCTTGCAAATAAGTAAAACCATTAAAACTGTTTAATTCAATTTGGACTTACCTGTTGATTGATTGGGCCGAAGTGTTCAGCTTCTGTTGACATGTCCGCTCCTTGTGCGGATGCTTCCACAATATCTGAAATAATTTGATGGATAAGTGACTAACAGTGGGATCCAGGATGCGCATTTCATCCCATTTTGGATTGGTGAGCCGGATGTACCTACATTTCCCAGTGAGTGAGTGATGGTGTTCTCACTCAGGCTCGAACCCAGTACCCATCGTTTCAAACACATATCGCATTATCCACTAGAGCGTTTGAATTCCATTGATAGTTACCACCCAGCAAATTGCTTCAAGTTAATGCTTAGACGTCGAATCAAGGAACAGACATGTCGTCAAAGGCAGAATAGTGAATCATAGTGTAACAACAGAAGACAAGGGCCAGACAACAGATCGTTTATTAAGGAAATCAAAGCATATTTATATATTTTCATGTACATTATTATGGATATTTAAGCAAACAAACGCAGTCTTCTGATTGGTTGTTTCTCACTTAAAGTTAATCTTTCATCTCTTTGTGACTGTTTCTTGAATGTCAAATCCTCTATATGTTAACTGTATCCGCCTACGCAAAGTCTGCTGTGGTCGGTTTTGATCAGTCTTGTTCATATTTTCTCACGACAAATCTTGAGAACGTAAACATTGACGTAAATTACTGTCTACCAATTTGGCTAGTAGACAGCTCTCACCACAATAGTACTTGGAAAACTGTAGTATTGTGGGTTGTATGATTCTGTTTTAGGTTAGTGTAAAACATTTCCTGCGCTAGTAATTTCAGTGTCAGAATGCTCACCAGCCATCCACATCGTCCGGGGTCCATTCTCGATAGAGGCACCCCAAAACCTCGCTTAGTTTAACTAGCTGATAGTAAGTTCGTAAGATGGGTGATGGTTAAACGTGACACTGGAAACCAACACCTCGTAAACAGCTTCAAACTCAGAAAGCAAAGGAATGCGAAAATGAAAAACACAAACAAACAGACATGTGTGAAACTCTAACTCACACTGAAGATAAGGACAAGAGTGTTTTTGAGGTTTTTACCCCCACCCCCACCCACCCTCCAAGACATCCATATCTTGAAACAGAGATACTCTCCATTATACTAAAACTGTTTTAGAATTATCCGTTGGAGGTTGATCTGATACATATTTCTTATAAATCAGCATATTAAACTGAATTGGATATAGATCAGAATGATTTTTTTCTTTTCGCCTCACTAATCTCCCTCTCTCTCTCTCTGTTATTTAATTTCTCAAAATGATAAACAATCGTAGTTAACTGCATTTTCTCTGAACACAATCTCTACGATGATTTCCAAATTCCTATTTAGGCATTTAGGAAAATACAGCAGACTGAGCCCTATTCCTTTTCAGTTCCTCATCATCGGCTGGCTGGCTCCACATTATTATATAGTTGTTTTTTTTACATCAAAACTGTTTTTACTAATCAAGTGGTTAATTGATAAATTTTAGGTATAAGCGGGGTAAAATTAAGAGGTTTAAAGGTCATCAAAACAATTAACTATTAGGTGTTAGTAACAAGGTGGAAGGAGGGAAGGGTGAGAATTAATTGCTTACAGAATGCAAAATAAGTTGGTTCTTATGTGGTGAGATCTGTCTACTAGCCAAATTGGTAGACAGTAATTTACGTCAATGTTTACGTTCTCAAGATTTGTCGTGAGAAAATATGAACAAGACTGATCAAAACCGACCACAGCAGACTTTGCGTAGGCGGATGCAGTTAACATATAGAGGATTTGACATTCAAGAAACAGTCACAAAGAGATGAAAGATTAACTTTAAGTGAGAAACAACCAATCAGAAGACTGTGTTTGTTTGCTTAACTAATCTATAATAATGTACATGAAAATATATAAATATGCTTTGATTTGCTTAATAAACGATCTGTTGCCTGGCCCTTGACTTCAGTTGTTACACTTAGGCGTTAGCAACAACTTATTATATAATCAATAAATTTGTAAAATAGCAATCATGACTCAGAAGAATTACGTAAGATACAAACAAACAAGTTAATAGAATTAGCTAGAATTGTAAAAATTAACTAAGTCTTCTAGCTAATTCTATTAACTTGTTTGTTTGTATCTTACGTAATTCTTCTGAGTCATGATTGCTATTTTACAAATTTATTGATTATATAATAAGTTGTTGCTAACGCCTAAGAACCAACTTATCTTGAATTCCGTAATTAATTAATTTTCACCCTTCCCTCCTTCGGAACTTAGATATCTTGTTACTAACACCTAATAGTTATTTGTTTTGATGACCTTTAACCTCTTAATTTCACCTACTCACCCCGCCTATACCTAAAACTGATTAACTAAAATAACCACTTGATTGGTAAAAACAGTTTTGATGTAAAAAAGCAACTATGAGGAACTAATTGAAAATGAATAGGGCTCAGTCTGTTGTTTTTTCTATGACGATTCGTATAACTTAAATTTTACTGGATTCTGAAGCTCATTAATAGAGTGTGTAACTGAAACTTGTTGAAACCAAAGTTTTTAAAAATGCTTCACTTTGCTACAAAAATGTGTAAATAATGGATTACACAGGATGCCACTGAGATCATCTTTTAGATTAAATCAGGTAGATTGATCTACCACTGGTGATGATGATGATGATGTATGAGTAATCAGTGTTACATCATCATGTCTAGAATTTAATGTTGACAGAATTCCACTTTCCAAGTATTGGTTTTGTAGGGATTTTATTTCATTGGTTGGAGGATTTCATCATGAGCTGACATCAGTTAGAGAACCATTAGAAAACCAGCTGGGAGTACTGAACGGCTGTTTCGTCCCCCTCCTTTGGGACTCTTCAACAGTACTCACCCACCCTAAGTGGGTTGGAATCCAGGACCTTCCGGTTACAAGGCCAGCGAGTTCGTAGACCATTAAGCCACTGGGACCCGATCCAATGGCCAACCCATGAATTCTAACTTCTGCCAATTCATGACA